GTAACGTCGAAACATGTAGAGTCATCAACTTTTTGAAGGGCATAGATAGGCCTCAATAAAATGTTTTTAATTGTATACCAGTTTAACGTTGAATGCTATTTATGATTTGAACTTTATATACAAGTGCCAAAATACTATAATTAATGGGTGTGGCTGTAATATCTAGATGTCACCTGAACAGTCGTTGAAGGACTACTATTCATATCCTTACACAAAGCATTGTACTAAGCAATGTTTTCCCCAGGCAGTAACAGGTATTTTTGAGAACAACAAAAGAACAAAGATAACTTGAAATAAGGTCTACTTACAATAATGTAGAAACACATGACATATACGTCTACCACACACACATATAAAAGGCTTAACTGTGGGTCAAATTTTGCTTAAGTATTTTTTATTTTCTTCAAATGTGTATATATTTTATAATCGTGGTGCTGCATTATGTGTAGGCTTAAAAATGCATTTAAACAAACATGTATAGAGATTGTTCATATTTATCTGCGAATTATAACTGTATAGAAGAATTTACATCTGTAATTTGGTTTACTTTTCCACATAATTTATCTGACAGGAAAAAAGTTTTAATGTATTCTGGACCGTTGTAATTTATCATAATAAAGGATTTCATGTACTTCAAAAGTAACATTTAACTGTAATATGGTGCAAAGATAAAAACATTTCTCATGCAAGTTGGATTTGAATGAAATATAATTTTCAGGTGGCCTATATCACCACCTTTTACCCATGTCTCTGCCTGGTAGTAATGATGATCTCAACACTCACAAAAGATGGTGCTGGAAGCGGGATTTCCTATTTCTTCGCACCTAAGTGGGAAAAACTTCAAGAAAAACAGGTGACTTCATGAGGGATTTTTGTTTTGTTAAGTTTTATTTAGTAATTTAATATAAAATAATATATGGACAACAATAAACCATTTGGTTCTTCAAGGCTGTCTCTGCATTTCCATCTCTGAGAAAAAATAAAAACTTAAACCTATCCATTGTTGTTTTTTTTAGGAAATCATCAATTTATCTTTTAAAGTCACGTAAAGTGCCGGCCTTCACTGCTGCTGATGAAAAGTTCATTAAGTAAACCATCCTGTTAGAAAATTAGATATATTTTTAAATGGAGCATAACCCGCCTTTTCCAAATCTTAGACTTAGGTCTTCTCATTCTCTTTATCTTGAAAATATAATACACAGATATCTTATCGATTTTCCAAATTACCAGATGCCTATCTTTTCTCAAGATATTAACCAATCCCTAATATAATACACAGATATCTTATCGATTTTCCAAATTACCAGATGCCTATCTTTTCTCAAGATATTAACCAATCCCTTTAAGATAACCCTTTCATTCTTGTACTCAACCCAACAGCCGTTTTCTGAATCATTTTAAATAAGTCAATATCTTCTCATCGATAATGAGACCAAAACTGTCCACAGTACTCCAATTGAAACCTAACTAGTGATTTCTATAGGAATATAACTACCTATTTTGACTTTTAGTCAATATGTAAGCTATAAAATTCTATTAACTTTACTACTATCAACAGACCACTTCCTCGATGGATTGAGTGACTTATCCACAACTAAACCAATATTATTTTCATCAGTTATACAATTGAATGAGTTCCAATCTATATTAAACACGTAATCCCAATTATAATAATCTGAACGTATTATCTTGCACTTATTATATTTAAAGTGGTGTGGGGAACAGATCCCCATTGAAGAGCTCTGACCCCCATCTTAGATATAGTCTTTTAATATTTTCAAATTCTCTACACTGAGACTCCATCTGACATGAAAATATTAAATTTTATATCCCCCTATTCCCCAAAATAAAGAATCCTAGAAATGCCATTGCCATTAATATCATTAATGTATATAAGAAAAAGCAAAGACCCAACCACTGACACCTGAGGTACTCCATTAGTAACAATGGATTGGATTCCATTAATAATAACTTTCTCTTTATTCTGATCCAATCATTTTACAATCCAATTTACTAGTTATTTCCCAACCCCCCTCCAATGTGACTGTGTTTACCAATCTTCTTTCTGACACCTCATCAGAAGCTCACCGTCCACCCTTTCCACCATCAAGATAACAAGTGACATCCTTGTGGTTAATATGGCAAGATTTCCCTTTGTGTTGAGTTTTCTTGTCATATTATATGCCACTAAGTGATTCTGCAAAGTTTTTTAATTCAGACTGTAGAATATTTCTCACTAAAGAAACGAAACTTACTGGTCTGTAATTTTCAAGCAATTCTTATCATTTCTTTTAAAAATAGGAGTAGCTCTCTAGTACCTGCCCACTCTCTACTGACCCACCAAAAATAATAAAGAGAGTCTCGTACATCTAATTTTTGACCTTCTATAGAACTGATTGCCAATTAAAACCTTTTTACCCTTTAAACTTCTGACTGTAGTAACGCACGTAGATTCAACGTTTCTACCATGGGGGGAGGGGCTGAAATTGTTTTAAAACTTTTTTTTTGTGAATTTCATGTGTATACTATATTCTCTTGTGCCTTGAATCCAGACAGGCATCCACTGCCCCCCCCCCCCCCCTTAAGAAAACGTCTATCACTAGTCAATAAATTGTAATCCGGAATTTCAAAATAATTCCCACTTTTATTGTTCTTTAAATCCAACCAAGTTTCAGTACTTCCCATTATATCATAAGTCTTCATTTCAACTTTCCAGAGACTCCTAACATTAGAATGATAGCAAGTCGGCTTTTCTTTACATCTGGCATAATTTAAACATGTTTCTAACTTTTCATTGTCTAACTGTTTCATTAATTTGTATATTCAAAATTTTCCAAGCAAATGCAGTTAAAACGTTCCTTTATTTGATTTCTTTGTAGTTGCTCCCAACATTTGTCTACCTGGTCTGAATACATGTTTAGTATGTAATTCACTCTTACCTTGAAAACTATCCTACAAGTCTAACCAGTCTTGCTGTTAGCATATCTTTGGTACACATAAAATTGTAGTATTCCTTTTCTTGTAGTCACAGTTATGCTTTGAGTTTTTTAAATATTTTTCCTCAAGTTTGAAAAGCTGTTTTCCCGTACCTATACGTCTATGTTTTACCATGATTATTCTGGATAAGAACCGCAGTGGTTTGCCATTGTCTTCTGTAGGTTACAGTGTTTTACGATGATTATTCAAGATAAGAACTGCAGTGGTTTGCCAGTGTCTTCTGTACGTCTATGTTTTACCATGATTATTTTAGACACGAACTGCAGTGGTTTGCCACTGTCTTCTGTACGTCTATGTTTTACCATCAAACCACTGCAGTTCGTGTCTAGAATAATCATGGTAAAACATAGACGTACAGAAGACACTGGCAAACCACTGCAGTTCTAGGTTACAGTCCTCAGCTAACTAGAGCAAGATTAAACTGCTAAAAGGATCCAACATTCTGTTCCCTCAATGGATCCCTAACGTTCAAACTAGATATGGCACCCATATATATATATATATTGTTACGTCTCCGGTCGTTAATTGATTTTCTGTAACTTCTTTCCGACTAAACTTTAGCAACACAAGTCCTTTCTTAATAAAACTGGTTTATTCTTTCTGAATATAACTTTACCGATACACTTATTTTCAACAGTCGCTCTATAACTTCAACAATACTTTCTGACTGCAGTTCAATTACTCACTACCTACACACACCTTGTTCCGTCACGTTGTCACTCTCCTATATATATACCAGACTACCCTATATTTAGTAATCTCCCGACTATTCCCGAAGGTTCGAGAGAAGTGGCGTGACACTAGTCACGTGACCTCGCTGACGCAACAATATATATATATCCTTGGTAATCTTTCTCCTAAGCCTTGTATTCTGCTATGTAGCTCACTGCAATGCGTAAGAGAGCATTCCGTGAAAGGTGTTACTCGTATTTTTGATTTGCAATTTCCAACATCATTTATTTCCTATATTAACTATAAAATTCAGCAACTAAATTGTCAACATGCTGTACAGTACCGCGTTCATTAGCACGTGGTATTAATGGAAGAATCCGATTTCTCTACAAGTTTCAGACAAGTAAACCCACAAAAACGGCAGATTCACGCACGACTGTCAACAAGCCCGTAGTCAGGGGGGTTCGGGGGTGCGAACGAACCCCTCCACACACACTCTCGCCTATTGACAATTGTTTTTTCTTTCTTTGATGATGGCCTCTCATTATGTAATTACTTTTCTAACACTGTGCATACATGCAGAAATAGGATTTTCATATTTATCAGAGGTAATTTACTATAAATGTTTATTTGCAGTGATAATAAAGGAACCGTTACATATTTTGGATTTTTTTTCGTCCTTGGGCACGAAAGTTACACAAAAGAACCCCCCACTTCCAGACCTGGCTACGGGCTTGCTATCAAGAGTGTTTTTGTGAGGATGATAAATTTATAACAATTAGATGTGTTAGACAAATAAAAATCTTTAATAAACAAAAAGTTACACTGCAACGACCCACAAATTCTTGTAGGTGATAAACAGTTATTTAGCTGGTGTTTACCTTTATTGTGCCCTTTTCCGGTAGATCAACTAGTGAAGAACTGAACTCATAAAGGATTCAGAGTGGTAATTTGCTTTCTTCATCCAGTAGGTGGCACCACTTGTGATCTGTGTTCCTTGACAGCATTGATCAGCTGTCCGTTTCAGTCAATCCATAATCCAACAAGAAAGGATACTCCAGTTTTATATACCATACTAAAACTTTCAATCAGGAGATGTCAACTTCCAGAAAATAAAAGGAAGAGACAACTAGAACAGGATAATGTTAGCAACTGTGGATCACCACCATGACAGTGCAGAAACTAAATAATCAATAATAATTCTGTATTGCAGTAAATGATGGGAAACCATGATAAGGCTGCACATCACAAGCACTTGTCAAACAAGTTCTAGTCCTAGACGTTTCTCTCCACTACACATAACGTTATTAGTGTTTGTAAAGAAGGAATCTATGCACATAACATTTTTTACTACTAGTCAACTCATCACTTTCCTCCCCCATCTTTTTCCAAAGCAGTATTTACCATAACTCTATCAACTCCCAGTCTTCCTTGCTTTCTGGTCCAAGTTTTCCAGGAAATTTTGTTTCTGTTTTACTTAATAAGTCCATGTTTATTACTTTTAAAGAGGAATTGTTGTTTTAATTGTTACTCAGAGTTGATCATTATTTCTTGATTTATATGTACAGTTAGTTTTTATTGTACCTTAAACAGAAATTCTTGTTTTAATATTACTCAGATTATTTGTGTCTTGACAAAGAACCTTTATTTAACAGATAAAATATATAATAAAATAAAATCATTATAAAAACATAATGCTGATATAAAAACAAACTGATTTTCTATTTTGGTGTTATATTCTTAAAACAATTTTCTTTATTGTACATCTTTCAATGTTATTAAAATTCCAATTCTTCTGAAAAATTAACTACAAGCTGGCTAACATTTCTGGATCTTACTAAAGGCTATAATGCTTTATTAACTACAGTTTGGTTAACATTTCTGGATGTTACTAAAGGCTAGAATGCTTTTATTAACTACAGGTTGGCTAACATTTCTGGATCTTACTAAAGGCTAGAATGCTTTATTAACTACAGGTTGGCTAACATTTCTGGATCTTACTAAAGGCTAGAATGCTTTATTAACTACAGGTTGGCTAACATTTCTGG